AAAACATCCCTTTCTGAATAGCATAGTTGCTGGTTTATGGCTCTACCTTTAGTAGTATTTTCTTTTCTTCTGAAGCATAGCGATGCTAATTTAGAATCAACAAGTACTGATGACTTAGCTGTTTTTATCTTTTTATTTACTTCACAAAGGTCTTGGTTTAGAAGCAGTAGCCTCTTTATTAAGTACAGAAAAATAATGCATTGTTTTCTCCACAGGCCTAATTTCCTTTCATCTTTCACAAAGGTAAGTTAGCCCTAAAACTTTGCATAGACTTTGCTGGGAGGTATCCCAATGCTTGACAAGGAAACTCATCCCAATCTATCCATAAAATGATAATCTTCAAGAGGGAAGTCTTCCCAATGGAGGCCAGCATGTGTATTTTGTCATTTTTTGCTTTTCTTGATATTTCATAGGTGATGGCCCATAAATTGTGGGAGTCTACTTTTCAGCCAGACTGCTGTCCATCTCCTAAATTCAAATAACTATTTGATTGTCATTATGTAGTTTTTACTTATTTGATATTCATTTTATTTTGATGGCACTAATGAGACAAAATCAAATACAGATAAAACCACAGGGGAAAAGTGATTGATAGAAATAAATGTCTCATTATTTAAGGTGTAATCCACTGAGTTGCTGTTTAGCTTATTTATTACTATGCTAAATTTGTATTTGTTCATTTTTGCTAAGTTTTCTTATTAATATAAAAATAATGCATTTTTAGCAATTAATAGCTCAGCATCTCCAATACATTAAAAGGAAGTGCCATTTAATATGGAGTGGCAGAACACTCCCATCTTTTCTTTGCTTCAATGTTTAATACTCTCCAATATAGTTTAGAATAATCAAAGGCAGAGGATACAAAAGCATGATATGCCTCAATGAAATCTAATTGTTGATTTTTGATGTATATATAATAGCTGCTGAGAAAATAAAATACACATTATTCAACACACTGGATAATAAGCATATTTTGTAAATACAAAATAATTGATATTTCCATTTACCTTTCTAAAAATTTTTTTCTATTTTTCCAGAGAATTTGAAAAACTAAGAGAGACCTAATAATGACACTGAAGGCTTAGATGGTAGAGCAGCCCAATTGCAGATACTGTACCGTATGCTCCATATTACACTACCCTGACTTTGAGAGTTGTATTGGAAGCCTGAGACTATGGTGGTATAAACAACAGAAAGAAATATTAGTGTGATAAATTTGATTTATCACAAATTTGATTGTGCAAAGCCATATTTGCTAAGCAGTTAGAAGGAATAAGGGAATACTTAAAGCCCAACCTAAGGCAAACTTACTCTATTTTACTTAGCATATACCATTGAGGAAGCTGAACTACTGCAGAATTCTATTCCAAATGCACTGTAGAGTAGTTCCTTCATTGCTAATTTCACAGATATTTTGGGCCTGAGAGTGGGGAAGCTATTGATGGTAGTTGCTGTCTGGGGGCAGGGAGTGTATATGAGGGGGTAAGTAATATTTCTAAAGATAAAAATCAGCATTCTCAAACCAACAGATACAGGATTTGCTACTAAATGGAAATTGGGGTGCACCTGGGTGGCTCAGTGGGTTAAGCGTCCAACTCTTGATTTTGGCACAGGTCATGATCTGAGGGTCATGAGATTGAGCCCGGTATTGGGCTCTGCCCTAGGCATCGAGCCTGCTTAAGCTATCTAAGTAAATACATAAATAGAAATGGGATCCAGAGTTGGTATACTCTGGAGTTTGAGACATAGATGCTGCATTTGTAGTTGCTAAAGTAAAATCCTTTGCATTTTTCTGAGTTGAGATTCACAGATATAACTAATTCACCAGTGTTCTTGGACTTGAGAATGCTGCCAGAAATCCAATAGAGCATTCATGTAGCAACCAAAGTCCATAAAGATGGCAGGACTTTGATATAAACAATAGTATTCATAAGTATACCTTGAATGCCTATTCCCATGTCTACTCTTGACAACTGCCAGAACAATGGCGGCAGGAAATACCCAAAATTGGAATGGCAGATTTCTCAGTGAAAAGAAATAGATTGAGTTTAATTTAAGAATAACAGTATTGGATGGTCACTACTGTTGGCCAGATCCAAGTCCGCACTGGTCTTCATCAGAAAAGTTGCTGGTTGTCAGTTATTTTGCCCAGCTGTATTATAAAGTATTAATCCCAGAAGTCTTCCCTCCCTGGCTGCCATGTTGTTTGTCAGAGATTTGGATATAAGATATAACAAAGAAATATCTTTAAGGTTTTTCTGGGCTACTAAAGACTTAATGAAAACTTCTAATGAAGCACAGATATTGGTTTTTAAAAACCCACTAATAAAACCCATAGATTCTAAAACAATATTGAAGAACAGTGTGTATTCTAAGATCATCAATCATGAAAGACTTTCTGGAAAACATACTGTCCTGATGTGAAAAAAAACAGTCCATCCCTGGGGCACCTGGCTGCCTCAGTTGGTTAAGCATCCAACTCTTGCCAGTACCAGGCAAGATACTTATTTCACAAAGCTCAAGCAAACAGGATTTCAAAATAAAGGTGACTCAAGCAGGGGAAATGAAGAAGCTATTTTCTTTCCCCAGAATGAATATGCAACTAATGGTTTGGAAAGGGAAGCTTGCATAAAAATCTTGATAGATTATGGAAAAACTTAGTTGTTTGTATCCTTAATAGAGTCAAAAGCAAATTAAGTGTTACAACAGGCCCACAGTTTCCACCTTAAGTGCCAGAACACTCCCTATGAAATGAGTTTAATATTCTGGGATTACTGTGATATTAATATAACTATAGTCATGAAAGTAATAATAACAAAATACAAGTAGGCATTTATTTTCTAAATGTTAAGAAAAGGAATCTGTGATTGCCTGGTATTTTTTTTACCCAATTGCAGAAAATAAATGGGAGATCTAAAAAGTATTATACCATTATAACATTTAATAAATCATCCATTCCAATTTTCTGGAAATTACAGGGGATAGAGGAACAGGGTAAATGATACCACAAGGAAATAATCAGACAAATTCAGAATGTAGGACATCTTACAAGACAACAGGTCTGGATACTTTAAAGAATTCAGTATCATAAAAAGGAACTGTTCCAGAATAAATAGATTCAACACCTAATACAATCCTGAAACTTGGTTTAAAATGAATTTTCTAAGACATTATTTATAATAAGTGGTTAAAAAGTATGTTTGTAAAAGGATCTCAGGAGTACATATGAGTCCTTATCAAAACTGAATAAAACTGAGGAAGAATAATGGAAAAATAATGAGATTTAATGGGGACTGGATTTCAGATAATATCATGGAATCATTGTTAATTTTGTTAAGTGTGCTGGTGGGATCATGATTATGTAGGATAATGTCCTTAGGAGATGTCTTCTGAAATATTTAGAGGTGAAGTGAAGGTATTTGTATGTAGAATTAAAATTTAAAAATATATAGATAGAACAAATATGGTAAATATGATAAAAAATAAGTTTCAAATTTGGATGGAGGGTAGAAGTATGTTTAATTCTTTTAACTTTTCTATATATTAGAAACATTTCTCAATACAAATATTGAACTTTTTTTTCAGAATGAGAGAAAGAGCACAAGTGGGGAAGAGGGGCAAAGTAAGAGAGAGAGAGAGAAACTTAAGCAGGCTCCACATCCAGCATGGAACCTGATGTGGGTCTGGATCTCACAACCCTAAGGTTATGACCTGAACATAAATCAAGAGGCACTTAACCAACTGAGCCACTCAGGTTACCCCAAATATTTAATTAATAGACTTAATTTTTTAGAGCAGTTTTGGGTTTTACAGAAAATTGAGCAGATAGTACAAAGAGTTCCCATATAACCACTTTCTCTCATAGTTCCCTAGTATTAACACCTTGCATTAGTGTGGTACATTTATTATAATTAATTAACCAATATTGATCCATTATTATTAACTAGAGTCTGTAGTTTATATTAGAGTTTATTCTTTGTGTTTTATGGGTTTTGACAAACACATACTGCTATGTATCTACCATTACAGTATCATAGAGAAACTATACCTCCCAGATATCCTGTGTTTTACCTCTTAATTCACCTCCTCCTTCCATCTGGCAACTACTAATCTTCTTAATTTATCTTTTGCCTTTTCCAGAATGTCATGTAGTTGCAAGTAATTGAGTATGTGCCTTTCAGACTGGTTTCTTTCACTAAACAATATGCATTTAAATTTCCTCCATGTCTTTTCTGGGTTGAAAACTCACTTCTTTCATGAAATATTTTAAATACAAAAAGATAGAAATTTTAAACACCTAACAGCAAATTGCAACATATTTATCTTATTTGGTACCCGATTTAACAAAGTATCTCTAAGAAGATATTTTAAAAAGATAATTGGGGAAAATTCAATACTTGCTATTTGCTATTATGAAATTATTACCATTGCTAGATGTGATAACTGATTTGAGGTTATGTTAAAAATGCCCTTATCTGTTAGAAAATAAAATAAAAACGTTGATACATTCACATGAAGAAATTTTCCAACTATTTGGAGATTTTCGTGTGGCCCAAATGTGTCAAATTTTAGGGAAATGTTAAGTGAGTGTGGTGCAAGAGAGATACAGGAGTAAGAACAATATTTCACATCCATGAGAAAGTTATTTGAATACTGAGCTTTCCCTGAGTTTGTATAGTTTTCTGTTTCTCTTGAGCACGAAGATGGTAACCTAGCCACCACCCAGACGCACACATGCCCAACCTCTAAATAAAAACTGGAACCTGCCTACTCAAAGCCTTCTTTCATCCTGGGACTGAAGTTACTCCCTTTCAGTTTCTCAAGTTGGTGTTTTCCAATTTTAAAAAAAATGCCCCTTCGATCTGTGAGAAAACCGGAATGGAAATGCCATGGTCACTATGGGTGCAATGAAAAAGTCTTTGGAAATACAGATAAAAGGTTGAGACACTACATGAAAATACTCCATTTAGATTGGCATCCGTCTGAAAGGAGTAGGATGTTAATGTTTTGGATAAAATAAACACTCGGAAAGGACGCGGGGTGGCGCTGCAGCATTAAAAGTAGAACGAAGAGAGAAAGCTGCCAGCCGGCGCTCCTTAACCCAGATGCTGTGCTAAAGAAACAAGCAGGAAGGGGAGGCTTTCTAAGGTGTTTCCAACGGGAAATCGGGGTCCTAGGCGTCTCCACTTATGACCGTACCCGCAAGATACTAGATGATAGAGTCCGCCACGACGCGAGCTGAGACTGGGTCAAGTTTGCTGGGAGACCAGAAAGCGATGGAGGCCGGAGAGGGAAAAGAACGCTTTCTGAGACAAAGGCAAGTCTTTATATTCTTTGTTTTGCTGGGCATAGCTCAGGCTGCTTCTGAGCCTAGGCACTACTCAGTGGCTGAGGAAACGGAGAGTGGCTCTTTTGTGGCCAATTTGTTAAAAGACCTGGGGCTGGAGGTAAATGAGCTAGCTGCACGAGGGGCTCGAGTCATTTCCAAAGGGAAAAAAACGCGTTTCCATTTTGATAGGCAGACCGGGGATTTGTTGTTAAATGAGAAATTGGACCGGGAGGAACTGTGCGGCCTTGCCGAGCCATGCGTGCTACCTTTCCAGGTGTTACTGGAAAATCCCTTGCAGTTTTTTCAGGCTGCGCTACGGATTAGGGATATAAATGATCATTCCCCGGTGTTCCTAGACAAAGAAATAATTTTGAAAATTTCAGAAAGTGTCACTCCCGGAACTACTTTCCTGATAGAACGTGCCCAGGATTTAGATGTAGGAAGCAACAGTCTCCAAAGTTACACAGTCAGCCCCAATTCCCATTTCCATCTTAAATTACAAGACAGTCCTGACGGCATATTACCACAGCTGGTATTGGACAAAGCTCTGGATCGCGAGGAACAAGCTGAGATCAGATTAACTCTCACAGCACTGGATGGCGGGACTCCACCCAGGACTGGCACTGCCTTGGTTCGCATCGAAGTCTTAGACATCAATGATAATGCCCCCGAGTTTGCAAAGCAGTTTTATAAGGTGCAGGTTCAGGAAAACAGCCCCATTGGATTTCCGGTTGTCATAGTCTCTGCTAGCGATTTGGATATTGGAACGTATGGAGAAATATCTTACGTATTTTCCCAAGCCTCTGAAGATATCCGCAAAACTTTTCAAATAAATGCAAAGTCAGGAGAACTCTTTTTAACACAGAAACTGGATTTCGAATCCACTCAGACTTACACATTAAATGTTCAGGCTACAGACGGTGGAGGACTTTCTGGAAGTTGCGTGGTGTTTGTCCAAGTGATGGATTTGAATGACAACCCTCCGGAACTGACTATGTCAACATTTATCGATCACATCCCAGAAAACTTGGAGGAGACCATAATTGCTGTATTCAGGGTTTCAGATCCTGACTCTGGAGACAATGGAAGAATGGTTTGCTCCATTCCAGATGATCTCCCTTTCTTCCTTAAACCTTCTGTTGAGAATTTTTACACCCTAGTGACAAACACAGCTCTGGACCGAGAGACAAGAGCCGAGTACAACATCACCATCACCGTCACCGACCTGGGGACCCCCAGGCTGAAAACCCAGCACAACCTAACGGTGACGGTGTCCGACGTCAACGACAACGCCCCGACCTTCAGCCAGACGACCTACACCCTGCGCGTCCGCGAGAACAACAGCCCCGCCCTGCACATCGGCAGCGTGAGCGCCACCGACAGAGACTCGGGCGCCAACGCCCAGGTCACCTACTCGCTGCTGCCGCCCCACGACCCGCAGCTGCCGCTGGGCTCGCTGGTGTCCATCAACGCGGACAACGGGCAGCTGTTCGCGCTCAGGTCGCTGGATTTCGAGGCGCTGCAGGCGTTCGAGTTCCGCGTGCGCGCGGCCGACCGCGGCTCGCCGGCGCTCAGCAGCCAGGCGCTGGTGCGCGTGCTGGTGGCGGACGCCAACGACAACGCGCCCTTCGTGCTGTACCCGCTGCAGAACGGCTCGGCGCCCTGCACCGAGCTGGTGCCGCGGGCGGCCGAGGCGGGCTACCTGGTGGCCAAGGTGGTGGCGGTGGACGGCGACTCGGGCCAGAACGCCTGGCTGTCGTACCAGCTGCTCAAGGCCACGGAGCCCGGGCTGTTCGGCGTGTGGGCGCACAACGGCGAGGTGCGCACGGCGCGGCCGCTGAGCGAGCGCGACGCCGTCAAGCACAGGCTGCTGGTGCTGGTCCGGGACCACGGCGAGCCGCCGCTGTCGGCCAGCGTCACGCTGCACGTGCTGCTGGTGGACGGCTTCTCGCAGCCCTACCTGCCGCTGCCCGACGCGGCGGCGGCCGAGGCCCGCGCCGACCCGCTCACCGTCTACCTGGTGGTGGCCTTGGCGTCCGTGTCGTCGCTCTTCCTGTTCTCGGTGCTGGTGTTCGTGGCGGTGCGGCTGTGCAGGAGGAGCCGGGCGGCGTCGGGGGGCGGCTGCTCGGTGCCCGAGGGCCCGTTTCCGGGCCACCTGGTGGACGTCAGCGGCGCGGGGACCCTGTCCCACAGCTACCAGTATGAGGTGTGTCTGACGGGAGGCTCAGGGACCAATGAATTCAAGTTCCTCAAGCCAATTCTTCCCAGTTTCCTTGCTCTAGGTGAGGAGAGGATTAGTGAAGCAAACCCCAGTTTCAGGGATAATTTTGAATTCAATTAAGTATTAAATAATAAGGGTCTACTGAGCCTAGTCTCAGTTAATTTGTGGGAAGTTCTTTTTTACTGCCTTGTCCATTGGGGTTCTTTTTATTTGGTAAGCAGCTATCCTGTTCCGACTTAGTGCATGTTACTGGTTTTTTTTTTTTTTTAATATTTTATTTATTTATTTGTCAGAGAGAGAGGGAGAGAGAGCAAGCACAGGCAGACAGAATGGCAGGCAGAGGCAGAGGGAGAAGCAGGCTCCCCGATGAGCAAGGAGCCCGACGCGGGACTCGATCCCAGGACGCCGGGACCATGACCCGAGCCGAAGGCAGCCACTCAACCAACTGAGCCACCCAGGCGTCCCGTTACTGGTGTTTTTAAATGTGTTCACTTGTGCTTTAAGGAATGCAAATTTCCTTTGTTTTCTTTTTTTTTTATTAGTCTCACTGTAACTTAATTCAACTTAAAGAGTGAAGGTAAATTTTTGTATTTTCGGAAATCTTTCATTTTTAAGTTAGAGCACCTTTTTCCAAACTCACCTTCCTCAGTTCCTAGGTGATTTTGCAGAACTTAAAATTTTAAACATTTTTAAATGTTTGTAATTGCTACATAAGCTTATTCTTTTACCAACCCAGAATATTTGTGTTTGTATATTCTTTTAGACTAGTATAACTTTTATTCTGTTAATTCATATTGACTAAAACCATTAATATATGCATATTCATTAATAACAAAGCAACTTATCACACTTTTCTAAATATGTACTTCCTTAAAGTGTCCATAAATGAAGATTATGATTCCTTAGAGATTGTGATAACGTTGGCTGCTGGATTCTACAAACCATTCACATCAAAAGTGCTCGGTCAACCACTAATATTCTCAAATTAGCTACATAAATAGCATGTTCAGTTGTTTTCAAAGCCATGCAATTCTTCATGCTATCGAAGTTTTTTTCTTTAGGGCATCTGGGTGGCTCAGTGGCTTAAAGCCTCTGCCTTTGGCTCAGGTCATGATCCCAGAGTCCTGGGATCAAGCCCCACATCTGGCTCTCCGCTGAGCAGGGAGTCTGCTTCCTCCTCTCTCTCTGCCTGTCTCTCTGCCTACTTGTGATCTGTCAAATAAATAAAATCTTAAAAAAAGTAATTTTTTTCTTTAAACCTTTGCTCATTTCTGTTCCCCTTTAAGAATTACCAGTTTTAGCAATTACAAACCATCTGTTAACTTTGAGCGCATCCTTAAAATCAAAAAGATATGAGGAAATAAATCTAAGTCTTTGTCCTTGACTAAATTTTAGAAACTTCAAATGTAGTTTGGCACTGCATTTTTTCAAAAAGTTGGAGCATTTATGATTCCATTGGAAATAAGCCTGTATGGAAAAGATTTATCTTATTCTGGCTATATATATATTTTTGCACTAGCTACTTGGTCTTTCCCTTTTCAGTTCCCTAGGCTTTTCAAAGCCTTTTTTTTCTTTTTAGGTTCTTGAATATGTTTGTCAATAACTCCCCATTTATTGTATGATTAGCATAGTAATTGGAGGATTATAGGATCTCAATAAAAGTTTTGAATAAGTGATTGAAAGAAAAGTGTCTTTATTTCATCTTGTGATATTTTGATATTTAAAGACACTGAAATACTCATAAAACAAAGTTTTGTTGGAATTAAATGCTCTCTGATGTATAAGGAATTACATATATAATTTTTGGTTATTACTTGAACTGATCACTGTTACTGACAGATTATGCAGTTATCAGTCCCTCTTTCCTTCAATATATTTTTCCTTTCTCTCTTCCTAATTTGAGCTTCCTCTCCTGCCTTCTAGCTTAAGGAATATATATGGGGAAATTGTGTTTTTGATTTTATAATTTCAGTTTCCTTGTATAATTCTCTAAATGATTCATCCAACTTTATTTCTTGCTGTTCAATTTCAGATCTATACATTAAAATGCATGTTTAACTATTAATGTTCTTCAGCCTATATTCAAATTCTTGTATCATTTTATGTTTATTTGCATGAGCTATACCATTAAAATTACAATATGAATTTTAAAGTCATCCTTTTGAGATTAACAGTGTGGAGCACTGCTGATACTTAGTAGGATCTTGGGTAAATCACATAATTTCTGTTCCCCCAAAATGCTAATAGCTATTTCTATAGCTTGAAATTATGATCAAATAAGGTACTATAAAGATATAGAAGTATAATTGCTGTTACTTATAGTATTACTAGTAGTAAGAGTAATCCTAATAGGTGATCCTCCATGTTACATTCCTGAAAATTGTGAAGATGCTAGACTGACCTCTTGATATTTGAGTTATTTCACTTCTCTGCCTAAAACCTTGGAGTATCTTCCTTTTATTCTTAGAATAAAATCCAAGCATCTGTTATTTGCCCACAGTTTATTTCTCCATCCTTCTATTATCACTTATTCTTGAGACAGAAGTTTTGGGTACACTGTCCTTTTATTATCTAGAATAGCTATATTATACTGTTGCAGGCCTTTACATATCAGTTTCTCATATATGTTTTCTTCCCATTTTACAGTCTTAGTCTGTAAGACTTAGCCTGTAAGACAAACATCTTATCCTTCATCTTCCAGATTAAGTGGCAAAACTTTGATGAAACTTTTTCACCAACCACCTGTCGAGTCAGGTCCTCCTACTGCATGCTTTCAGTGCATTCAGTACATTTCCTATATAGCACTTTTCACAGTTTGTTTGAACATATATTTAAAGTCTGTTCACCCCATTAGATGGAAAACTATAAGATATATAGACACTATTTGCCTTGTTACCACCATATGCCTAACTTCTACAAACTCAACGTATTTCCACAGATAAAATACAGTTATACAGATGAAACAGTTAATATAGTTTACATAGATGAAACCAGCAATTGTAAAATTACTGTGAAATAAGAAGAGGAGAAATATCTGTGTTCCTTGAGTGATTGTGAAGATTTGAAAGGAACTGGGCATTTGTGGCCTCTGACTATGACATGACCTATTATAATTTTTCATCACCTGGCATGAAGTCATATTTTATAGCATTTTTTCCTGATTATAAATGTAACTCATTCATGGACACTTTACAAAATCGGGAACATAAGAGAAAAATGCAAGTAGGATATGAAGCATATCATCATTTAGAATTTAGAGCAAAATCCTTTAAAGTTTATGAGTAATAACTGCAGATGGGCAGGAAGAGTAACTCTAACAGCAAAATCATATAAATCAGCAAAAACATGTAAATGAGGACTCTTATCAAAGACAGTGGGTTCTTTTTATTTCCCTAGGTTGTGTTTTTTTTTAACTCATTTAACACAAGAACCTCCTCCAGTAGCATCAAATGGGCTATTCCGTTTATCAAGGGGAATAAGCAATTAAAAAATCAAAACACCCATCCACCGGGCCTCCTGCCCCAACATAGCACCTTCTCTAAGATTGTTAAGCTACCAGTGAACGCATGGTGGCGCTGTTGACTAAGACGGCGAATTAAACCACGGGCGTTGTGCGCACTCTGTAAGGCACGTAAACTAGGGGGTTGAACGTCTGGGCAGATTTTAAGCAAGCAAATCTGAGGCTTGGAAAGGATTATTCGCTAGACTTTCTTCAAAGGTTGGAAGGCAAAAGACTGCGTTTGTTAGCACTGCCGGACGCTTAGTTTGGCAGTATCTCCTGGAAGAACGTGGCCGAAAACACAATGGAGGCCAGATGGGAGCGCTTTCTTAGACAAAGGCAAGTCCTATTTCTCTTTGTTTTTCTGGGTGGGTCTCTGACTGAGTCTGAGTCAAGACGCTACTCTGTGGTCGAGGAAACAGAGAGGGGCTATTTAATAGCCAACCTAGCAAAGGATTTAGGGCTAGGGGTAGGGGAACTGGCTGTGAGGGGAGCCCAAGTTGTGTCTAAAGGGAACAAAGAGCATTTTCAGCTCAACCATCAGACCGGCGATTTGCTCCTGCATGAGAAATTGGACCGGGAAGAGCTATGCGGCCACACGGAGCCATGTTTACTGCACTTTCAGATATTACTGCAAAACCCTTTGCAGTTTATTACAAATGAGGTTCAGGTCGTAGATGTAAACGACCATTCTCCGGTATTCTTTGAAAATGAAATGCAGCTGAAACTCTTAGAAAATACGCCACCAGGAACCGTAATTCCTTTGGAAAATGCTGAGGACTTGGATGTGGGAAGAAACAGTCTCCAAAACTACACAATCGCTCCTAATTCCCATTTCCATGTTCTCACACGCAATCGTAGGGATGGAAGAAAGTACCCACAACTAGTGCTGGACAAAGCGCTAGACCGTGAGGAGCAGCCAGAGCTCGTTTTGACCCTCACCGCGCTAGATGGGGGCTCTCCACCCAGGTCGGGGATCGCCCAGATCCACATCCTGGTCTTAGACATAAATGACAACGCCCCAGAATTTACACAGTCACTCTATGAGGTTCAAATTCTAGAGAACAGTCCCATTAACTCTGTTATTGTCACTGTCTCAGCTTCTGACTCAGATACAGGAAATTTTGGGACAGTATCATATGCATTTTTTCACGCTTCTGAAGAAATTCGCAAAACTTTTCAGTTAAATTCAATCACTGGTGATATCCAACTAGTCAAATATTTGAATTATGAGGTTATGAATACTTATGAAGTGGACATAGAAGCTAAGGATGGCGGGGGCCTTTCAGGAAAAACCACAGTGATAGTTCAGGTGGTTGATGTAAATGACAACCCACCAGAACTGACCTTGTCCTCAATTACCAGCCCTATCCCTGAGAACTCGCCAGAGACTGTGGTGGCTGTTTTCAGTGTCTCAGATCCTGACTCTGGAGACAATGGAAGAATTATGTGCTCCATCGAGAACAATCTCCCCTTCGTCCTAAAACCATCAGTAGAGAATTTTTACACCCTACTGTCAAAAGGAGCACTAGACAGAGAGAGCCAGGCCGAATACAACATCACCATCACCGTCACCGACCTGGGGACCCCCAGGCTGAA